GTAGCGCAACGAGGTGGAAACGGTACCCGCCAGGAGGGCTTGCCGACGGATCGCTTGTACGAGGGCGCTTGTAGGAGCGGCGCCTGTCGAGGATCGCTGGTAGGAGGGCGCGTGTAGAAGCGGCGCCGGTCGAGGATCACTTGTAGGAAGGCGCTTGTAGGAGCGGCGCCTGCCGAGGATCACTTGTAGAAGCGGCGCGTGTAGGAGCGGCGCCTGTCGAGGATCACTTGTAGGAGGGCGCCTGTAGGAGGGCGCCTGTTGAGGATCGCTGGTAGGAGGGCGCTGGTAGGAGCGGCGCCTGTCGCGGATCACTTGTAGGAGGATCGCGTGTAGGAGGATCGCGTGTAGGAGGGCGCTTGTAGGAGGGCGCTGGTAGGAGAGGTGGTGGTCTTGAATCGCTTGCCGGTGCGGGCGTGCGGGACCTCGGCGGGGGTGGGCGGCCGCGGCGCGCTGCTTTTATACGCGCTGGCGGCCGCCGCCTGGCGCTGCCTGGGTGCACCGCGTGGCAGCGCGCGCATTCGCTCGGCCACTTTCGCCCGTTCCAGGCAGCGGCTTGGCTCTGGCCGACGCGGGTATGCTGCGCAGTGACGTCGGACGCCCGCTGCCAAACAGGTTACGTGCATCCGTGTCCATTGTTCATGCGGCCATGAGGTGTCCGCCGCCGCTGATGTCTCGGGCCATTATTGTGCCACCCGGCTTGTGGCTGGCACGGCTGAGGCGGCGTCCAGGGGATCTGAGGCACGGGTGCCCCGGAACCGTGGTACCGGGTCGGAGCCACGGCCGCGCCAGGGCTACCGCCGGGCCAGACGCTCCAGCGCCTCCAGCAACAGCGCGTCAGTGCGATCGCCAAACGGATCCGGGTTGAAGCTGGCAGTGTATGCCAGGCAGCGCATACAATGCTGGCCACTGCATGAACTATCCACGGGGCGATATCGTACCAAGTGAAACTGTGTCAGAACTTGAGTTGGCAGCTCACAGCTGCTTGCTCAAGGCCGCGTGGCCCAATGGATAAGGCGCTTGACTACGGATCAAGAGATTCCAGGTTCGAATCCTGGCGTGGTCGCTTTTTTGCCACTGATCGCTTTTTTGCGCCAGCCTCTGGCGCATGGAAATACTGGTATGTGAGGCGGCTTCCTCGATCCAGTGGTACCTGTTGCCATGTTGTCGTTTACTTTGAAACATTCGGAGAGGAAAGAAACACTACAGCGTTCAGCCGCGCTCGAAATGACCGCTCACAAACGCTGATCTCAGCCGCACGCGCAGCTTGGACATGCGTTGTTGGCACTCGTCGTCAAAGCCCGGTGGAGAGTCAGCACCGGGATCTATGGTGCCGTTCCCTTGGTTGCCATGGCAGGTGTTGGGTCTTTACCCGGTCGTGCCATACATGGCATACTGGAAATACAGATGATCCGGGTCCTGCGGATGATACTCGCCATACTGGTCATCCTGTCCGTACTGGTCACTCTGGACCTGCTGGCCACCCTGGACCTGCCGCTCATCCTGGACCTGCTGGCTGTCCTTCTCATCCTGGGCTTCCTGAGCACCCTGGGCTTCCTGGTCAGCCTGGTTGCACTCGCAATTCTGGCGATACGAGCAATCCGCGTCGCTGCTGACATAAGTGGACGAGTGGAGCTCGTCAACCTGTTCGATCGTACTCTTGAACACTCCGATGCCCTTCATCTTGGCTGCCTGGTTGGTTGTTTGGCTTGTTGGCGATCGACAATAGAGCGCGGTGGATGCGAATCTTGCTTGGCGAGTTGGTGGTTGCTGTTTGACCGGCACCCGGCGGCACGGCTTTTATACCTGTTGGTTGGCGGGAGGGCGGAGGCGCAGTTGAAGGGTAGAAAGTGGACCCCCGCAGTGATGGGGGATGGGAGGACGATTGGGGCGCTGGCCGTTCAGTCAGTGGCGAGCCAATGATTGCAGTGTGTGTCTTGCCCAGTCGACGCCCCTACTCCCAGATAGATGCTGCTGACTGGAGTGTCAAAGGTGCGAATATCCAAACACAAAGGAAGCTGTGTGGGTCCGACTGGGCGCCGCTGCGTCACAGGGCTGGCAGCAGCTCGCAGTGGCACCGGGACCTCAAAGCTTACAATGGCCCCTTATTGCCTTTGTGTCTCTGGGCCTCAAGCACGCCATCACTGGTAGGGTCGCCTCCGAAATGATGGGGCCTTGCACAGATGGCCAAAGAGGCGCCAAGTCGTCCGGACAGGAAAAAGGGGTTGCCGCCAATCGCCACCCCATCCAGCCTGGCTGCTACGTCTCTGATGCCAGCCAGTGCCATCAAAAATGAAACGCGCATACAGATTTAGTTGGTTGGCGCAGATGTGCAACTCTTAACGCTTGCTTGAAGGGGCAAAAAACCACCCGGGGGAAAAGACAAGCGGGTCGATTTGAGCCGGGGACCCAAAAAGGGGCCGCGCCGGGGATTGAACCCGGGACCTCCTGCACCCAAAGCAGGAATCATACCACTAGACCACGAGGCCTGCGCCGAAACAGGACGGCACAAAGTGTCGGACTTTTTTCGATCGACAAGGTAGGCGAAGAGACGGGTCCCCTTTGGCGCAAAAGCAGAAACGTTGCGCCCGCTCCTGGGCCCTGCAACTCGCATCCAACGACCCTGCAGGCCGCAAAGGACCGCGGCTGGGCGCGGACTGGGGCGCATCCACGGCCGGCGGGGGCCCTGCGCTGCTGCATGGCGAGGGGCGGGCGAGACAACCTGCGCATCCTTTCTCCGTCTTTCGGCCCCGCTGCGCCCTGGGTTTTCCAGATATCATTCGAATTTCTTCTCGAAATGGAGCGCGCTGGCCCTGTAAATCGCAAGAGTAAGACCCCGGGGGCGCTGGGCGCCGACGGGGCCCTGGAGGGCGCGCATGCAACCCGCATGCGCCGCGAAATCGTGGTGCCGCCCAGCGGCATGCACCGGACCTCTGACGCCAGCGGGCGGGCGGCGATGCGTCCGTCGCGGGCGGTGTTCCGCACGACAAAGACGTCGCAAAAGCTAAAGATCCTCCCCGAGGACGACGGCGACGAAACGGGCACCGAGGCCGGCGACGACCTGGGGCTGACCGGCGTGTACGACCAGGTCGAGCGCATGCGCGGGGCACATGACCTGCGCAGCGAGATCAACCGGCTCAAGAGCCTGCCGCCGGGGAGCCTGCCGCGAGTGACAGCGTACGCGACGGCGTCGTCGTACACGATGACGCAGCTGTTCAAGTGGATCCAGTCGCGCAAGGAGCAGAACGACACAGCGCCAAAGCT